CGAGGTACTACAACAAAAAAGTAAAGAGACGAGAATTTGAAGTTGATGACCTCGTATTGAGAAAAGTCTTCACGGCTACAAGAGAACTTAACTCCGGATCTCTAGGACCTAACTGGGAAGGCCCTTATAAAGTGACTAAAGTATTACTCAAAGGGGCCTACGAACTAGAAGACATGAAAGGAAGACCCCTACAACATCCCTGGAACGCAGAACATCTCAAAAAGTACTATCAATAAAATTTTGCTGTATTACACTCCATATAAATCGTTAGTAATAAAAGTATGTTTTTATACACGACTGACAAAACAAAGCAAAGCCCTACCCAAGTGTAGGCCGAACTGAGGTTGTAAGTGCTGCAACACTCAGTGGAAATTCCTAGAAAGGGAATAAAAAGCCCTACCCAAGAGAATGCAGAACTGAGGTTGTAAGTGCTGCAAAACTCAGAGGAAATTACTATAAAGAGAATAAAAAGCNGTGGAAATTCCTATAAAGGGAATAAAAAGCTCTACCCAAGTGTAAGCCGAACTGAGGTTGTAAGTGCTGCAACACTCAGTGGAAATTCCTATAAAAGGAATAGCAAAGCCCTAATTGTGAGTAGGCCGAATTGGGCTAAAAATGCTAAAACTTACTTATGAGTTAGTGGTCAAAACGAACGATGCATCTATCACTACACCTAGTGCACTATCTTAAAAGATTTGCTACTAGTACAATGACCTTAACATAAGTCGTATATATTGCGAAACACTCAGTTCAGGGAAATAAAATTGTTACTAAAATTAAAAGCAATTAATGAGACGAAAATAAAAGTTTCATTCACAATGACCTCAACAAAATCATAAAAGTCACCCAAAACAGGTCTTAAAAGTATTTCCTTATTTTGAAATTACAAAAATAAATGTACAAACAGAAATTAGGAGGCTGGAGGGTCTGGCGGTGGCACGTATGCCTGGGCTATATCCTCATCAGCAGGAACGATCCTCACCTCAGTTGCTGACGATAATTGATCTAGCTCTTTCTGCTGATCCTTATACACTTCCGCTAGGAACCCAGTGTCCCAATCTGGCTGCTCTTTGTTGATATACTTGATGATTTCCCCCATCGCCAGCACGTAAGCGTCTTGGGCCAAAACGTTGAAAGCTGGAGAAGCTCTCCATTCCTCCACTGCCTTGGAAGCTTTTAGCTTGGCTTCTTTTACTCTCCTCACAGCCGCCATAGCCCTGGCCATAGCTGTATCTGCCCTCTCCTTTTCACTATCAGCTCGGGCGTTTGCCTTCTCCCCCCAAGTTTTCAATGCCTGGGTATCGTCCATCAGCTTCAATTCTTTAGATAAACTGATATTGAGCTCCTCCCCCATCCTGTTCAGACGATCTTCATAGTCTTTCTCTTTTTCAGTAAAAGAGGCCCGCTCCACCTCCACCTTCTCAAAAAGAGCGTTTACCTTATCCCTGAACTCCAGCACCTTTCCAAGCTCAGCATTAGCCTGCAAACAAACGAAAGAAATGTCAACAATGGCGAGAAGTGAAAAACGACTAAACAATACAATACCAAGGAATTTACCTTTTCAGCCACCGACATCATGTGAAGAATTGCTCGGTGACTGTAGAGCTGGGCTGAAAGGATGTTCTCGCCAATGGGCATCTCGGCCATAAACTGCTGCTCCTTGTCATTCCAGCTCTTGGTCATAAGGATAGCTGACTCTCTCAAAGGAGAAGGCAATGCAGCGATTGATTCACGAGCTGGGGAAGGAGCTCGAAGGTAGTCCAGTATGACTTCAGGTCGGCGACCCAACAGACCCTCTATGTTTGGCCTCTGCAGGTCAGGGTACTTTTCTTGCGACCTCGAAGATGAGGCGGAGGTAGGTATTGCCAAAGGAGCTGGCTGAGGAGAATTTAGGGGTGCTGCCGGAGAAGGCGTGGTGTGAGATTCTTCAGAGTGACGACGCTTCGACAGAGGCTGCTCGTCCTCGTCCTCGACCTCGACCTCTGCCTCCGAGGCTTCCACAAGGACCTCCTTATTTTTCTGCTTGGCCGCTTCAGCCGCTGCGGCCGTCTTTGCTGCCTTGAAGTTCAGCATTTCTGGATCTTGTCCTAAAAAAGTGTTGGTACAGAAGTTCAGTTCACTTCGGAAGTATAAAACAGAAAAATAAACCTGAAAATACTTACGAGAGGTTGTTGGGGCAGAAGTTTCAGTTAGGCTCGAAAGAATTTCTCTGAGCAAACCCGCCTGAATCAAGTTCGTGTCAGAGATCACGAACTTACAGGACCTCTGCCTATTGGGAAGAGCTCGGATTGTGTCCGCTTGTCTTTGAAGAACTGAGCTCAAGTGGCAAGGTCGGTAGACTGTAAAGTACAAAGAAGATCAATGATTAGATAATACAATTAAATATGACGAGCCGAAATAAAGAATGGCACTGCTACAACTTACACAAAGAGTGATAGAGAGTAGGAACTACATCCTCTCTATCCACCTTGGAAGGATGAAACTGCCAATCCCCCAAAACAAAGAAAAACTCCTCATTCCATCCCTTAATCGATGAGGGGGTATCTAAAACTAATGGATCTCCGGTCTTAGGCCTAACACTGGTGTACCACCAACCCGTGTTTTTCCCATCTTCCTTAAAGGTGAAAAGGGCGTTGAACTGAGAAACGTTGAGTTCGGGATGGCCTAGTTAACTCCACAGAATTAGAGTCACAATGAGAGTCCTCCAACCGTTAGGACACATCTGGGTGGGGGCTATTCCCCAGGAAGAAAAGAATTGTCTAATGATTTTTGGGAATGGTAACCTCAGCCCAGCATGAAGGATCGCCGTGTTAAGTGCCACACACCCCAGTGGAGGATTACTAACTCGGTCAGAGGAAGATGGGATCACTAACTCTGCCGAACTAGGAATGCCATACTCGACCCTAATACTAGCCAACATACCCCCCGTGACTACCGACCTAAAGGAATCAGCCCCCCACTCCGAATTCTTAGCTGCCTGTGACTTCTCCTCCCTTATCTTTCTCCACTGTTCCATGCTCCTAGGAGAGTTGGACGGACGAGGAAAGAAGGACGAGATTGGGACTGGAGTTAATACTTCCTGACAATCTGAACTGGTGGAGGAGGGAGTGGCAGGTGAAGAAGAAGAATTTTCTTGGTTATTACCCCAGGATCGTACCTGGGATTCATCCGAACTCATATTAAAAATCTAGCAAAGAATGTATATTAAACACAGTAATAGTGAAAGTTATTCTCGAAAAAAAACCTGAATAAAAGCTCGACCTCACTCAGAAAGAAGGACGGAGAAGAAAAATTTTAGAGAGCAAAAATGTTCTTTCAAAAATACGAAGAAAGTAAAAAGTAAGAAAGAAATAGGGTATTTAAAGAGATGGAATGCCAAGGGTCTTGATCTCAAGCGTACAAAGTAAAGGCAATAAATGAGTGAACGACTGGAATTAAATGCTTCTAAGAGACGAAACCTCACTGCTTCACAGCCTGCATCCGAGTCACACGGTGACACGTGTCCCTCGCATTTACTAAAGCAATCATTACAGAAATTCGAAAATTGTGCCAAGAGAAGGTCAATCCCTCACCTGAATCAGCATTGACCTGGGGGGTAACTGTTGACATTGACCTCTGAGGTGATTAAGGTCGGATCAGTCCACATCATGTGTAGTTAATATGTTGAGATCGGGGGAAACAGCTGGATCCGACCTCCAAGGTAATTAAGATCGGATCGGTCTTTGTCATGAGTAGATAACATGTCGAGCTCGGATAAATAAGGTCAGGTCGGATATAGACGCCTTTTGGAGGAAGCTTGTGTAATCTCCCAACGCATAAGATATTGTAATGATGAGGAATCTCTGACACGACATATGAGCAACCAATTATGGAGATGCACCTAGAAAGGTCTTACATCATTACCCCCATAATCCTCCAATTAAAAGTGTTCGCAGCCTCCTCTAAGTAATGCATTAATTACTGGGGGCCACCTACCATTAATATTCTGAAGAGCTCTGACAAGATCCAGTTCGGAAACCAATTCCGTCGCACCAACCATTGTACTTCTTCAGCTCGGAATTGCAGTGAAAAGATAAGAGATGTGGTATACGTGCATATGATCCCTATAAATAGGGATCCACAGCCCCCAGAAGATGCAGTGACTCTTAGCATATTTTCATATTTCAAATATCTCCTATAAAACAAGGAAGAAAGGATTATATGTATCAAATTCTTACAAAAACTTGCATATCCCATCAAGAATTTGGTATATCTTCTCCCCGATTGGTTTAAATCTTGTTCATACGATTTTTAACGTCAACATTTTCCATTCGATGCCAATTGTATGATTAGAACTATGAATATTATCCATTTAAGTTTAATGAACTTTAAGTTTAAATACTAAATTTTATAAAGAATTGTCCGGTTTTACTTCCTAGACAGTTTTCTCACATATAAAATTACTAGAATTGAAATGTTTGCTTAGGAAATTTTAATATATTACAATATATTTTTCGCCATATTATTAATAAAATAGACTTTGTAACTCTTCTAAGACTCTGAATTTATTTGAAACTTGGGACGGCAAACAAATATAAAAATTGCATTAATATAAGAAGCTTGAAATCATGCCAAAACCATGTAAAGTTGACAAATCAACTACCATTTTGATTCAAAAGATAACATTAGATTCTACTAAATTTGCACAGTCGCGAACTAAATAATCTGTCTAAAATATCAATGTTTAATGCCAAATCTGCTAAATATAAGAACAAAAAAGTTTCAATATTTATACATTAAAACTACATGAAAGGAAAATTAAAGATGATCAACCCTAAGAGCCATTTGTACAATCAAATGGGAGGTAAAAAAAATAACAGCATGCATTATGCTTGGTTTTCTCATAAATTGCTTTCTTTCCTCATCAAGTGCAAGCTTGACACAAAATTTCAAGAGTACTATTGCTTAGAAGTTACTTAGCTTTACTGTCATTTTCGCCCAATCTCTTCAAGCAGCATCAGTTATACTCGTCTGCGCAAAAATCCCATTGCCTGGTAGACATTATTTAGAGTAACATCTGCTACGGCTGATGCTTTACTAGCACCTTCTGCCAAAATGTCATCCAAGTAAGCAGGGTCAGACATAATTTCTCCGTATCGGACCTGCAAGATAGAGAACCCAATAGTTCGTAAATCGACATGCTAATTTAACTTACGAAAGCAGATTGAGTAAAGATCTGTTCAGAAGCTAAAACCTGGATCGGGTGTAGATGATCAATTAAAGCATCCGTAAGAACGATTTTGAATGTTCCCCAGTTCATATCTTGGCATTCTTCTGCAATTTCCTGCAATAATAATTTTTTCTGAATATTTCTTTCCTTACAGGATGTAGAATAGCTGCAGGGGATTATATGACAACAGATTAAAGGTCAACCATGAACATCTTTTCTGAGTAAAGAAACAAATGTGATGGTATAAAAACATATATCCAAAGGCAATAATAGGCAAATTAAGGCCCTGTTTGAGCCAAATTATTGTAGAATGAAAATGAAAAATATAACCGTTATTGGAGCCCACATAAGAGATAGAAAATTTAAATTTAAATGTTGATGTGAAGGATAACGATCATATTTTTTTTATTTTAATGAGATAATAATGTAGATCAAACGGGGGCTAAATGATAAGTTAATCAACAATGCCACTTCACTTTGTTTATAATCCTCATTGCAAAACCAACAATGAAAACCATTTTCATTTTAACCAAGTTTTGCCAAGAGTAATGAGGGAAAAAATTGGAGCTGTCTTAGATTCACTTGCTTTGAACTATCTTTGGTTTTGAACAACATGCTATTGAACAGGAAAATCTGGTTCATGAAATGAATTGATTAATAAAGCTTTCACAACTGACAGCAGAGTACATGTCCTACTTTACAGGGCCAGGAAATTCGATTAGTTACATCATGGCACTTCACAACCATTCTGCAACCAATTCCTTGAACCTTAAAATATTAGGTGAGAGAGTGCGTGTGACAAAAGCAGTGAATGGAAGGAACAGTAAAAGTCCTCCATTTTATAACCAAATGACCAGTTGCTGAGATAAAAATATATCAGACTCCTTCAAGATCCCCAAGTGAACAATAAAGCAAATAACTCAGAGATCCAAAACATTATCCATACACTATGAAGATTGATTACCTGCTTTGTCTTGCCTGTAATGACCTGATAAACTGAAAGAAGATTGTTACATTCAGGCCTTTCAGGATTATCAAATTCCAAGCTGTAAAATTACCAACAATTTCATGCAAAGAGTGAGCATATTAGAGGTTTAGTCCACTCATCAACAAAAAGCCTCAGCAAAAACAGTAAGGGATATTTGATCCAAAGAAACTTCAAATTGTAAATGATATGGCAAACAAAAGCAGAGAAATCTAACCCAGGAAATGAGTCAGTCTTGCAACGTTTTATTTTGTTGGCAATAACCTACAATACCCAAAGAAATCAATCTGTAGTAAATATCTGGTTAAATAAAGGAAATGATGCTTGAAGCATCTAAGGGACTGTTCTCTTTGTGTTTCAATTTTGTGTTTTGAGATTTGAATTCATTTTGAGTTTTGTGTTTTAAGTGTCCATTTTGAAATTATTGAAAATGTGTTCTTTTTGACATTTTGAAAAATTGTTTTCTTTTTAGTTTTTAACCTTAACCCGTTCTCCTTCCTCCCCTCTCTGGTCTCTCTCTCTTTTCCCTCTCTCTGTCGTCAGTCTCTCTTCTTCCACTTCTCTCCGTCGACAAGCAACGACGGTGGTGGAGATCGCCGGTGGCTTCGTCTTTCTCTTTTTTTTCTTTTTTTACTGTGGCTATGGTTGGTTGTGGCTATGGCAGTGGTGTGTGGTGGTTTTGTGTGCGTGGTGTGCAAGGGTGGTGTGGTGCAAGTTGTGGCTGTGGCGGTGGTTTTTGGGTGCGTGGTGGTTCTGCAATGATTTTGGCAGTTTTTGTGGTGGTGGATCTGGCGGTTGTGTGGTGACGATTTTTGTGATGGTGGTTTTTGTAGTGGTGGCGGATCTGACGGTTGTGTGGTGGAGGTGTGGTGCAGGCGACGGCGACGGTGGTTAGGATGTTGTGGCAGCAGTAGTGGCGATGGTTTTTGTGGTGTAGACGACGGTGGTGGTTGCGGCGGTGTGGTATAATAACATTGGTGGTGGTTTGGGTGACGTTAAACTGAAAACACTCAAAACGCGTTTTGAAAATTTTGGCTTGATTATAACTGAAAACACCAAAAACGACAAATTTGTCATTTTGGGTTTTCTTTGTAAATTTTTAACTTGTTTTCAAAAACGCATTTTCAAAAATGGGAAAAGAATATGTTTTCACTGTTTTAGAAAATCGAAAACAGAAACGGCTTGAAAACGATAAAGAGAACCTGCCCTAATTTTTTCGAACTCAAAAATAGAAACTAGGGGTGTCCAAAAGTCCCGAACCGAACCGGACCGAACCGAACCCGAACCGAACCGAGCGGTTCTTCAAAAATTAAATACCCGAACGGGTACCCGAATCGAGAACCGATGGGTTTGGGTCGGGTCTCGGGTCTAGACCAAGAACCGAAGAACCGAATAAGAACCGAAACTAAATAATTTTTTTATTTTTTATATTGAATTAATTAAATTATTTTATTTTTTT